ATAGTCTCACAAATATTTTTAATTTCCAGCTGTTTTCATCTTCCACCAAATAATTACTGAGTACCTACTATGCTCCCAAATGGTGCTAGCTGCAGAGAGAAAAAGATTAAGGGTAGGAGATTATTCTCCACAGCTCTCTTGCATCTCTGCAAGTCTTATGAGGAGGTGATAAGTATTGAGAGTTCTGACTATCCCTTCAAGAAGGCTTGTAGAGCAAAAAGCTCTGGACAACAGGACGAGTGTCTCACTCCCAGGCAGACTGTTTCCCAATCAGGATTTGATGTCTCCCTTGGCAGGCAGAAGTGGGCAGTTTTGCGAGCACCCCTTTGAGGACTGGAGGCTGCCCTAAGCTCTGAGTTGTCTGTGGCCAAAGCCACTATTTGTACAGCATCCACCAGGGTTTATCTGCATGCACCTACGGGACCTGCGGGCCTGTAAACATAAAGTAAATGACATCTTCTGTGCTGTGAGGAATATGGGCTGTTTCTGAGCCAGGCGTCTCCAGCCCTCAGTCAGTACCCACAAAACCGTGGCAGGCTGACGTATTAGTCCGCACACCGAGTAAAATTTGTGATCATTCTCAGTTCTTGACTTTCAGTCCCTCATATCAAGGACCTCATGGTTTTCAAGCAAAGTGAAAACCACCAAAAAAATCAAATATACATGAATAATGGAGACATGCTGTAGGTTTGGCAGGCATACTACAAATCATGGAGGGAGTAGGGTCCTTCACACAAGGTTTCTGGGAGGTCATCACACTTGTAACAGAATCTCCAAACATTTGTGGGAGTCAGCCAGGTGAAGAAGAGAGCCAGCAAGCACAAAGTCATAGCAGCAAAACAACAAAAATGATGCAGAGAACTAAAGAAGTCACTATGCAGGAGCATCAAGTGGGAACCTGTCACTTAGACTCTGGCTGGAACAGTTCAGAGACCCTCGTATCTCATCAGCAGAGCCTAAATGTTAGTTGTAGCCTATGATCTCCAAAGAGGCACTCAAGGCAATCCACTGGGTACTAGAAAAATAGATTTGAATATAAAAAATAAAGTTTCTTAGTATTATGTGGGTTGACACTATGGAGAGCTGTGTGGAGATTTCTGGACCTACTAAACATAGAGCTTCCATATGATCCAGCAATTCCACTCCTAGGTATTTACCCAAAGGACACAGAAACATCAATTCCAAAGAGCACCTGCACCCCTATGTTTATAGTAGCACTATTCACAATAGCTAAGCTTTGGAAACAACCCAAATGCCCAAAAATAGATGACTGGATCAAGAAGATGTGGTACATATACACCATGGAATATTACTCAGCATTCAAAAAAGATCAACACATGCAATTTGCAGCAACATGGATGGCGCTGGAAGGGATCATGCTCAGCGAAATAAGCCAGAAAGAAAAAGAAAAATACCGGATGGTCTCACTCATAGCAGGAATCTAGAAAACTTAAATAAGGGACCAGGAAAATGAATAACTATAAGAAAGTGAAAATCAAAATCAACAAAAAACTATGAACCAGAGACACTCTATGGGGGTAGGGGGCGGGAGGGGAGGGCTTGGGGTCAAAATAAGGGGGTTGCAATTGTATGGGGAATATAAAAATAAAATTTATTATTAAAAAATAATATGTGGGTTAATAATGATCCCTGCATGTGACCTGTATTTTTGATGTTCCTATATCACGCAGCATATGGGAACTCCCAAGGGAGGAATGTGAAGTTCCTCATTACTGTTGTGACATTACAACCTATCAGTGCTCTGTTAAGAATATGTACAGATTATAGCTTTATTAAGCCAACCCTGAGAACATGGAAAAGTGGCTTTAAAAGATTCCAACAAAGAAACCACAGACTGACAATAGCAGTAATAATGGAAATACAAACAGATGACCCCAAAATGGGCTGACACTTCTAGTCTGATCACTTCTCAGCCACATTATAAGCTAAAATCAATGACAATTTAATCAGATCTGACCACAGGAACTTATTTGCTTATTAATTGAAATTTGGATCTGTCTCCACTATGGGTGAAGATGAACTACACCATCAATGTCTGTTGATTCTTGAGATAATGGCTAATATCAGTGCCAGGTCATCATAATTGGCAAGATACTTTAAAAAATGAGTGTCACAGGGCCTCCCCTGGTGGCGCAGAGGTTGAGAGCTGGGCTGCGAAGCTGCCCGCAGCCTCTGCAGTGCTGGTTCAATCTCCGGCCACAGGCAAGGGTCCCACATAGGGCGACAGACCTCTCCCACCGTGCCCGCTGCTCCTCTCAGCAGTGTATTTCATCAGTCTACCTGTTCTGTTCCCTGCTCTGTCTCTGGTGAATTCTCTCACCCTCCCACACTTCTGACTATACCCAGTCCTTGTATAAATAAATAAAATAAATCTTTAAAAAAAAATGAGTGTCATAAGCACAGAGTCAATCATTGCAATTTTTTCACTGCTGCTTAATGCTGTGTGTGCCTCTACCTACAGAACATTGTTGAAAGATACATTTAAAATACTGGTGTAGGGCCTCCCTGGTGGTGCAGCGGTTGAGCGCTGGGTTGCGAAGATGCCCACGGCCTCTGCAGCCCCGGTTCAATCCCCTGTTCAATCCCCGGTTCAATCCCTGGCTGCTCCCCGGCCACCGGAGGAGGGTCGACATGGCGCGCAGACCTCTCCAGCCGCCCGCTGCTCCCCTCAGCAGTGTACTTCGGTCCTTCTGCCTGCTCTGCTCCCTGCTCTGGCTCTGGTGAGTTCTCTCACGCTCCCGCGCTTCTGACTGTACCCAGTGTTTGTATGAATAAATAAATAAATAAATAAATCTTTAAAAAAATAAATAAATAAAATACTGGTGTATATTTGAAAAGGCTTTAATTAATACACTATGCATTGTGGGAAGTTGGATGAAAGTAGGGGGTTTTCAACATGTCTTAATTTATGGAATCTGCTAGTAATTGCTTAAATGATAAAATACACAAAGTTACTTTTGGTGAAAGACTGAAGCAGCTATTCTCAACGTTAGAATGAACTAGAGAGGATTTAAAAATGCTTCTGGCCAGGTCCTTTCCCAGACCAATTAGAACATTATTGCTGTAAATAGTTCTTTCTTTCATTAGGAAGGAGAAAAGGAAGAAGGCTGCTGTGATAGCATCTCACTGTGAAATCCATTCCAAAATCATTCGCAAGCAAATCGTTGCTATAAAGAAGTTAAAGCCAGGGTTGTAAACTGCAACAGAGTTCATCAACGTACAGTCAGCAATGCTGTAATAAGACATACGCATTCCTGAAATCACCACACTTCCTTGTACAAAACTGCAATAAATATCAAAGGGTATGGGGAGGGGGGATGGCATAAGAGCAATACGCTCAAAATCTTCATTATGACACATTTTGAAAAAAAAGGTAGAAATTTAATAACAGATTCATAGTTTACATTATTTAAATGACTGAAATATAGATAATAAAATTGGGACTGTACACTGAAAAAAGCTTGAAGGTTTGGGGCATAGGTGCTGGAAGGATTATAGTTTGTGGGTTATTATGAAGTAGTGAAGGAGGGTTATCTGAAAGTGGATGGAAATATCTATGTGTGTGTGTATACATGCATACTTACATACAGACAGACAGATAGAAAGATAGATATAGATTCACCAAATGTGAACAAGTATGGTTCATAAACATACCTGTAATATATATATATATATTTAATTATTTTAATTATATATATATATATATATATATCATGGTAGACTGAGGCAGCTGGTAGTTAGTTGAAGAGTGGGTGTATGTATGTTGTGTGTGTTACATTCCTGTGTGGTTGGGTTCAACTATTTTCTGTATTTATCTAGTTTCACTTAGCAATTCTATTAGATGAAATTGTATAAAAGCAAACAAAAAATTGTTATGCTCACAATGTTCTTTAATATACTAAATATGTTGGAACAAACTCATATTTTCAAAATAAGCTTAAGAGCAGAACTGACTGTACTTAATATTACAAAACAACACATTTAAATACAGGATCCTCTTCCAATAATTTGCAATGAGATGGTGAGTGACCAAGAAAATCTTTTACATCAAGGTTTGTTGTTATCTCTAAAGAAAGTAATTGCTAAACTTTAAGTTGAGCTATTCATTTTTATTTTACTTTTAAAAAAGACAAATAATTTAAATTTCCTGACCTCTCCTTGGATAGTAAACACCTCTGTATCACAGTACCAAGTAGATTTTTTTTTCTTTAAAGATTTATTTATTTATGCATACAAGAGCTTGGGTGTAGGCCAGAGGTGTGGGGTTGTAACAGGTTCACCAGAGACAGAGTGAAACAGAATAGGCAAGCTGACTGAAATACACTGCTAAGGCGTGCAGCCGGAAAGTCAGGAGAAGTCTGCTGCACCATGTGGGTCACCTCCCTGGCCAGGGATGGAACTAATGTTGCAGTGGCTGTGGATAGCTTCATAGTGCTGAGACTTAACCCCTTGAGCCACCAGGGAGGCCCCAAGTAGATATGTTTATAAACATAAATATACCCAAGTTTTCTCTTCAGCATGGGGGGGCGGTGGGATTGGGGGTTTAACCATAAAGGAAAAAGTAAAGGCTTTTCCAAAGAAAATACTTGAGTTCTAGAGGGAGCATTTTGAAAATGAGCAATTGGAAATGACTCCATTTTTGGATTTTTTTTCCCCTGAAAATGACGTGTGTCATGTAGAAAAATTCTCATATCTGCTCACGTTGATGGAAAATAAATTTTCCAGTCCATTTAAAATCTCCCACATGAGGAATTTCTGCCTGGAAGTTTTGAAACTAATTGTGAAAAGTATTTTAAAAATCCACTCCCCATGAATTTGCAGGAGTCAAAGTCATCAGGAGATTAAAATCTACTGGCCAAATTAATCAAAAACCTTTGCATTATTGATAGATGAGATTGAAAAATGAGTATCTAGACTTAATAAATTCAATAAAACCAATGATCTACTTATTCCTTTGGAAAATTTATATCTGTTTTCAGATTTGACAGCCAATGAAATACAGACCTAAATAAAATGAAGCACAGAGCTTAACTAACCTTGAAGACGGGTCTTCAGATTGCTCCACTATAACACGTGAGGCTAAGGTTTTCCAAAGTTTTGAAAGAAAACGTAAGTATATTAAATGACAATCACATTGCTCTCTTTTTGTTTAATGTTTAGAGTAAAAAAAGACTTTATATCATTAATAAATAGAATACAAAAGTTATTTTTAAAAGTTTTTTTGGCCTCTAACATCTCTTTCTCTCTATCTAATAAACTAGTATATGTGGATAGCTCATAAATAAAAATACAATGTGTATATATATAAATGTTTTCAAATTTTTTATAGATAGACATTATGATTAGAAAAAATCTGGAGACCCTGCTACAGTGATAAAGAGATAGAGGGACTGCATTCAACTATCTGCTATCGGAAATCCTACTTTACAGAGATTAATTTTCTCATATAAAAGCAGCCTAGGTATAAACAGTGCTAGACTGGGACTCAAGTAAGGCCTGGATTTCTTCTCTTTCCACAAGCCTTATTTAACACATGGATTTGCCCCCCCGCCACACACACAAAATGACTGCTGCACTCAAGTACATCATGGGCACATTCCAGTCAGGAAGAGGAAAAGGCAAAGGTATAAAAGGCAAATCACATATATTAGCTAAAGGTTTAGATAGATAACCCAGGCTTTAGATACCTAAGGCAAAAAAGCGAGGCAGGTCAACTAAGATTCTTACTGTACTGTATATCTCATCAAGGCAGCCAACAGGACCAGCACCTGAAAGATGAGCATCGGTGAGTTACTATGAAGAGGGGACGATGGCTACATATTGGCAATGTGAGGCCAAAGCACTGGCTCTGGAGACACAAAGTCGGCACTTCTCTGTAAAGAGTCACCAGTTCAAGGGACAGGAGGACTATGGAAAGGAAAAGCCAAATATTCTCACAAGTCCCATTCATCTCACTTTTTTAAAAAACTCATTAACATGTTTTTGTGAACAGTAGTATGTCTGAGGTATCTATGATATTAACAAGCCAGATTGGTGTCAACTTGAAAATAGTCTTTGGGAAAATCCTGATTGGAAATGCTGAAAATTCATCAATAAATGATCTCATTCACTAGCCCGTGTAAAGCAACCCTAATGCTTTCAGGCAACTCAAACAGAGACTGCGAATCCAAACAAAGAAATAAAAACAGAGTGTCCACAGCTTAGAATGACAGCCAAGTTCTCTCTGGGACAATTTTATCCTAATAAGATACATGTATCCTGATTTGTGTTCTGCCTAATTTTCTCATATATATATATATATATATATATATGCAAAAAAATACTATCTATATATATATACGTATAGATAGTATTTTTGAGATTTTTGCTCTGTAATAGTTTGAATCAGCTACTTTGTGAAAACAGCAGAAAGAGTGAAATTTAAGGCCAAGATTCCATCTCTCACAACAGTGTGTCCAGGCTATTTTATATTGCTCAAGACTCAAAAGCCTTGTGCATTATTCATTTACTCCAAGCAGGGCATGTAATAAATTACTGCTGAGATGCAACCACTTAGAGCCAGACAGCTCATATTTACTCTGAAAAATGATTTCTTCTCAGAGAGCTTTTTTTCTTTAAGGTCACTGTCACGGACACTGACTCTCTCCTAATGATACTCTTCTTTATTCTCCTGCACACCACACTGGTAAAGTTCCACTCTATACCTTGCAACAGAAATAGAAATTTACCACTTGGATTTTATTCTCTGAGGATAAAGAGCCCCAATCCTGTTCGAGTCTCCCTGCAGGCCACAAGAGCCCTCCTGCCTCAGAGACTGCACTCCCTTGTTTATCCCCCTCACTCTCTACTTCAACCACTTCTAACTTTAAAAATTCTCTTGTGAGTTTATTGCAGCACTATTTACAATAGGTAAGACCTGGAAACAACCCAAATGCCCAAAAATAGATGACTGGATCAGGATGATGTGGTACATATACACAATGGAATATTATTCAGCAATAAAAAAAGATAAACTCATGCCATTTGCAGCAATGTGAATGGAGCTAGAAGGAATTATGCTCAGTGAAATAAGCCAGAAGGAAAAGAAAAATATTGGATGGTTTCACTTATAACAGGAATATAGAGGAACCAAATAAGACATCAGTATAAAAAAAAATAACAGTACAAAACACAACAAAGCAAAACCAGACAATTATAAACCAGAGACAAACTACAGGGAAAGAGGAGGGAGAGGAGTGAGAGGGAGGGAGGGAGGAGCACAGAGGACTGTGGTGATGGTGCACGGTGCCTTGGGGAAGGAAATTCTATGGGGACTCAATCTGAGGGGGTGGTGGGAAGCAAATATTGTCTAAAAAAAGTAATAAAAGATAAATGTTAAAATTTTAAAAATTATTAAAAAAAAATCCTCTCATGAATCTACTACCATGGTTTCCTATCTCATTCTCTTTGAGTCAAGATTCTTAGATGATAACCTGACTGTCTTCACCTCTCCAGTCCCACGGCTCAACGCGCTACATGTTCCTGCTCCATCAACCAGGTGTCTTCTGAGGAGGCCCGACCTCTTCTGTGCCCTCGCAGGAGGCGGCCTCTCCGTCCTTCCAGTTCTCTGTCCTTCCACACTTCTCCCTTTCACAGCCTCCCTTCCCAACCGTGCCCCTGTGTCACCTGTTCAGTACCCCCTTCTCTCCTTAGAGTCCCCCTTTCTTCATCCTTTTCACACTGCTGAGCCCAGACCTTGAAGTCTTGTGCATCTGCATCTCTCTCCAGTGCCAGCTGATCTGCTCTCCATCTCCTTGTTGTTGACTAAGTCCAACTTTCATGCCTTTGCTCAGGTTCCTCTTTCTGTTAGCAGTGCCTCTTGTCCCTGCAACTGTCACTTGTACACTTGTTCTTAGAGTTTAGAAGTCCCTCCACACGGCCTTCCCCGATTAATCCCCATAGGTTTACATCACTCAGCATCCCCGTGCCCTGCACCCCCACCACACCATACGCAGAAGCAGTTTCTCCCTGATGCTTGAGTTTGGGATCTGTATTATCTTCCTTTTCTTTTATGATTATTTTAATGCCACATGCATAGTTTTTTAGACTACGGTACATAAACACACACATAAACACACAGGCAAATCCATAGGTACTTGGGTGATTAAATAATTAATATGACTCAGATCTCTTGTAAAGAATAGCCATTCTTCAGGAAGTTGCTGTCCACCCTCACCCATCTTCATGAATCTTGTTCATTTCTCCATCACCCTTGAGCTGACCACATGTAATGTGACTAACTGGCTGCCTTTCTGCCTTCTCTGGCCCCCAGAAAGCTCCTTGGAAACCACAATGATTCAGCTCTGTATCTGCAGCCCCTCACGCCATGTCTAAGACAGAGCAGGGGCTTTAGGGGAAGGTTGTAACCAACATCCAGGATAAAATTAAGATGTGAGAGAGGGGGAGGGATGTGCATGATACTACAATGAAGGATCAAATTATAAAATGTCAGTTACCCAAAAAGGTTGTTTAATGTATGTTTTGAAGGCAAATGTCAGCACAATTAACAATTTATAGTGGACTTATAAGAGAACAAGAGAACAAGTTCGGTCTTGAAGGCAATAATCAAATGTAGAGCTCAGGTTCTAATATTCATGCATCCACTTACTCAGGAAATTGTTACTAAGTGCCTATGTGTGACAGGCACTGAGCCAAGTCCAGGCTCACGAGAGCAAAGGATGTCTTGTAGCCTGGCAGGGGGGAACAGACATAAATACACTATAGGAAGGCAAATAAAAATGTAACTGAAGTAAGTGCTATGAAGGAAAAATAAAGGATGCCTAGAGCTTACAAGCAGGATGACCTGACCCAACAATGTTTGATAGGGAATATTTTCCATTAAAAAAAAAAAAAAGCAGGAAAAAGACATATCTGAATCCATTTCTTAAAGAGTCATCACATTGCCTTGCAGTTCCCTCAAACCATCTGTCGAAATAGCCCCACATTCCACAATCTTGACAAAGGGGGGTTCTGAAGAAGACAAACTTCAAGCTTCTTGTTTGTAAAGACATGTACCCTCCTAATAAACATGCCTCAATGCCCCAACCACTTCCTTATCAACGGGTGTGGGTCTGCTAATCCTAAGCAGCCTGTTCAGCCAGCATTTTGTTCCCTATGGTTCTGCATTCCTGTACAAGGACAGAACTGCCTGGTCAATCAGTTATAGGAGCCCAACCCTACAAGGTGCCTTTCAAATCAATCAAGAGTAGAGAGCTTGCTCACCCTGGGAAGCTTATGCACCAGGTATGACCAGGAACGCCTGGGGGGCCATTGACTGATGTATAACAAGGGACCCCAGAAGCTGATCTGTGGAACACCTTGTTGATAAAACAGAAACCTGGGCTGGGGATCCAGGGCTTGATTTCAATCACAATAACAAGTTATCAAGCAGATGAGAAGTGCCTGGGGGTCAGACTCAGGACCTAGGGAAATGAAAGATGACATAGCACATTTTTTAGTTTCACTCCTCCCTTTTCTTTTTGTCCTCCTACCCCACACAACTGATGCTGTATGATTATTTTAAGAATTAAAAGGCCAGGATCTTGCTTTTTCAGCAGCATCCTGCATTGTGCAGCCTGCTCCACAACTCCCGTTTCTTTATCAGTGTGGTGTTGCCGACGCAACAGATGGCCAGTTGCTAACATACTAACACATCTATCTGTCTACGTGTTTATTCTCCTTTTATTTTTCTCTAAGAAAAATTCTGAAGAATGGGAGAGCTGGCTGGACAGTGCAAGCATGTCCATGCCTTGTGGAGCGCTCAGCGAGCCTGGGAACTGCAGTGCATGGGGCTGCAGCACAGCTGGGCCCACTGTCTGTCAGCAACACGTTTCACCGTCTCCTCTGTGCTGGCTGGGTGAATAGATGCACACCAGGGCCTTAGTCCTATTTCTTTACTGTGATGTTAAACAGTTTTCAAAAGCTGATTTACTGTCTTGTATGTCATTTTGAACTGATTACTTACCTTCTCTAAGCCTACTAGACCTCCTATAACAAACAGGAATAATAACACCATCTCTGCAGTATTGCAGAGGAAATTAGGTTCTTAAAAATGCTAAGCCTAACATTTAGGACACAACAAACCTTCAGTTGATGTAACTTTTGCTTCTATTTATCCATTATCAATTTAGTAATGTTCTCTTACTTATGTAAGTACCCCTATTATATTTTATGTAATAAATGTTAACCTGACAAAATGATTGAAAATATTTTCTCCCATTCTGTTATTTGCTTTACTACCTTAAATTTGCTGTTCTTATTTTATAGAAACCTTTGTGGAATAAATATTTTGAAGGAGGACACATGGACCTTCACTAATATATCAGCTTCATTTTGGGGGTTGGGTGACACCTATTTGATGGTTTAAATTCACAGGGGATGGACAGTTCATTCTTTGGCTCACAATCGTTTCCTAAAATTGCCTAAAATATGATTTTTAGAAAAGCAAAATGGGGGCCTCCAGGTGGCACAAAAGGGTTAAACATCAGCGCTATGAAGCTATCCACAGCTCCTGCATCACAAGTGAGTTCGATCCCTGCCAGGAAGGTGACCCACATGGCACAGAAGACCTCTCATGTCTCACCCACTGCTCCCCTCAGCAGTGTATTTCAGTCAACCTGCCTGTTCTGTTCCTACTCTGTCTCTGGCAAATCCTCTCACCCCCCTGTACCTCTGGCCTACACCCCAGCTCTTGTACGCATAAATAAATATTTAAAAAGAAAACAGTCATGTCATGTCAATCAAAAATGTTTCCAGACATTGTCAAATGCCTCTTAGGAAGAAAAATTGTTCCCCTACCCTCTGCTGAGAATTTTAGCTAAAACTGTCCTGAACTTGACTCATCTGGTCTATAACCTTTTCTTGCAGCCTTAATTCATTTTAGGTAAACACTGCTTCTTGTTCTTCTCCTAGCCACCCTCCCCTAATATCAAAAACCTGCAGTATCTGGAAAATGTTCTAAATCAGTTGTTTTTAAATGTTAATAAAATAGTTAAAATGTTTTGGTTTTTCCCC